AAACATCAGGCTTTAATTTTTATAACCAAAAGGAAGCATTAAAAGTGGGTTTTTAATTCTTTTTCCCCCCCTTTTTGTTTATTTAATTTTTTTCTTTTTAGTTTTTCTTTGTCCTTTGTGGTTTTTTTTTTAATGGTAGCAAATGGACCAGTCTTTACATTTTGTTCAGTCTTCCCATTTTTAATTATTTTTTGTCTTTAAATGCCCAGAGATTTGTTTTTAAGAAAATAAATTCTGGAAAATGTTGCTGAATCATTTGGAACCTCTAGAAGCCTGATTTCTAAATAAATGGGCCTATAACTAACTGGAAGTAGTTGCAGATTCTCTAGGTAAATGATAAATTCTGACATTCTACAGAACAATATACAAAATTATTTCTCCAGATTTATTCATAAATGAAGTCAAATTCAAAATAATTTAACTGGACTTTAGAATACAGTTATTAACATGAAATCTCTAGTATGTCACAATTTAAGTGATTTTTCATATACTACCTATACTCCAAATTGGATGGAGCATAGTTGTCACAAGATACAAGCATTTTAAAATTTTTTTCTCTAAAACCTTCTTTAAAAGACTGTTGAACCCTAAAAGAATCAGTTGTCCTTTGTAGATGTAGTAATATGAGTCAATCTACATTACCAAGAAACTATTAAAAAGGAGATCGAAGGGAGATTTTTTTCAGTAAATTGTTATTACCTCAGGAATTGACAAGAGTCATTTCAGTAATTTTTTCTGTCAGAAGAGAGGAAGGAGATAACTGTAGGTTATTCTATTTGGGGACATTTCTTTTTTAACACTATTCTTCCTGTTTTGCTGAGAAAGAACTCAGATGTTCGTCTTTTTTCTTTTGTCATTGAGTAGGGAAAGTTACCAGGAGAAGCAGGTTCTTAAATTAATTCACACAGTTTTAGGAAATTCCTCCTGCTATAAGTGAAGTAACTCTGAGTCTCCTGCCAAAAGGAAAACCTTAATTTTCACAATGGGCCATCTGTTTAGCATTGAATTGACCTTTCATTTTGTGAACTGATTTTGAGAGAGGCAAGATTTCTTCCTCCCTGGAAGACTGTCCTATTCTGAGCTTCCTAACGCTGCACAAGCACCAAGTGATTGTAGTGCCTAGCAGTTCTTTTTCCCACATACACCTACCCCTAAACTTACGTTCATAGCTTTTTATTTGACTGCTTCTACTTTATCCCCATACAAGAAACTTAAGTAGCTGTCACAAAACATATTTGCTTTCTTTGTTAACATGTATTTGGTAAACTTTTTTCTTTTCTGGGGGCTTCTTAGATGCAGAGAGTTTAATTAATCTTATTAATTTACTAACTCATTCACTTAAAAAATATTGGAAACCCTGTTATGTGTCAGATACTCTACTTGGCATTAGGTGTCTGGTGGTATGCCAGCAGATAAGATTTTATCCCCCTGGAACATTATCATCATCAATGAATATGGGTCCTGCTCTTGTTCTACTTGATTTTTATTTTTTTCCCTTCATCTTCCTTTCTCTTTTTCCCCTCCATAAACATCCACTCAGATATGCATGTCCTTAGATATTTGTTCTTGAAGATATATCACATTTATGTGTTTGTGGTTTTTATTTTATCCTCATTAAAATGATATCTTATTATGATGTAAAATTCTAAATTCAACATTTATTTTTTTCTTCCTTTAATACTGTCCCTCCGATGTTTCTGGTTTCTAGTGTTGCTATTAAAAAGTCAGCTATTCATTGGATTCTTGTTCCTTTGTAATCAATCTGCTCTTAAGTATCTGTTTGGCAGTGAACTATTTCAATCTGAATTTACTTTAATTCTGACAAATTCTTAGATTATCGTATCTTTATTTTCTCCCGTTTTCCTGTGGCTTCTGTAAGTATTGGCAATGGTGTTCCTATGTCTGTGCTCAGATTTTCTTTTCTATTTTTCATTTCTTCATCCTCCTCCCCCTGAACAATACCGTATTTGGGAATTCCTTAGCCTGATCTTTCAGCCTACTGATGCATTCAAGAGTTATCAATTCTCATACCCACCTAATCAGTTTAATTTTTTATTTCAGATGCTGAATTTTTTTTAGATCAGGGATTCCAGTTGGATGGAGTTTTCTTTGACACTCTTTTTCACTTCATCCTTAAGTAGTTCTCTCTCTCTTTCTCTTAGGCTTGTTATAACTTATTTTAAATCCTTGTTTGGCCCAAAAAGTCTGTTAAGTCATTCAATTTGTTGTCTGTCCTTTATGGTTTTTGTGTGCTCTGAGATATCTATCACTTTCCTCCTACAATTATTCACTGTCTCATCAAGATTTTGTTGCCGAACCCAGCCAACGTGGCTCAGAGGTTGAGCATCGACTTATGATCCAGGCGATGGAGGTTTGGTTCCCGATCAGGGCACGTGCCCGGGTTGCAGACTCAATCTCCAGTAAGGGGCGTGCGGGAGGCAGCCGGTCAATGATTCTCTCTTATCATTTATGTTTCTATCTCTCTCTCCCTCTCCCTTTCTCTCTCTGAAATCAATAAAAACATATTAATTTGTTGCCGAGGAATGACTAGTAAATGGCAGTTTTATTCAGATGATTTTTATGTAAAATAAATTGGACTTAAAATTATCAAAATTTAACAAGATATTTTAATGATTCTTAAGGTTTTTTATTAAGAATAAAATGTTGCTGCTCTATACCAGGCCTATCATGAGGAAGGTGCTAATTTGCAAGTTTTTGTTACCAAGTGGACACCAGTTATCTGGGTTTGAGGCAGTGATGGGAATTTCTTCTGCCGCCCTGAAGAAGGTCAGATTGTCTTTTCATTAAACTAGACCCTACCTAGCACTGCAGCCTTTCTCCTCTGTGCTGCTCACCTTTGGTGTTCATCCCCATAAGCATCTCTGTAGCATTATATATGTTCAGTCAGCCAGTTTTACTTCAAAATTACTTTATTATAGTATATAAAAATCTTCATGTTCAGGAGGTAAATTATAGGAACATAGTCTAGCTATCTACAGTTTCCTTACAATCAAGCTTTTAATAGGCTGTTGTGCAATAGCAGTCGATGGCATGTAAGATATTGGGGGCAAGAAATAACATAGCTTTGCTATATTGTACCTTCTACCTGAACTTTTTTCCGGGCCATCCACTTATCTGGAACTGACCCTTTGAACTCCCTTTCCTTCCATTTTCTTCACCAGGTCCTTTACCCTCCTGACCAAAATAATAAATTTGTAGCCAAATTCTGTAGTCCACATTGCTAATTTATCACACATTCTTTGCCTGCCAAGCCCAGGGCATGCCCTCCTCCGAGTCCTTTTTAGCACAACCCTTCAGGGAGTTTGGCACTAGAGATGATACCTAGTTGTCATTTTTGTTCTAGCTCTCTTGTTCCAGTCGGACTAAGACATTAACATATTCAGGCTGTATTTGCTTTGAAGGCTGAAAAGGAATAAAGGTAAAATAACAAGTAACAAGTAAAATTGTTTCCCAGTACCCAGTAGACACTTCTCTGCCCTTTCTTACTCATGTTTTTAAAGCCTTTTATGTCATTCCAACCCTTGTTTCTATCTGTGCTGTTTCTGCTGCTTCTTTCTGCCTAATTAGTTCATGGTAGGAAATAAACACATTTGTATTGAGCAGTACAGACTAGATTTTAATTCAGAAGTAAGTGAAAAGGACGTTCTTTTCTTTCCAAATATTTTCGCCTCTTTAGTCACCCCTGAGATAATTTCTTCTCATTTTTGGTATAATGATGTACATTTTTTCCTATCCTTATATTTAGTGAAAATTAGGTACCACCAAGCCTGTGGAAGGTGTTTATTTTGAATGCCTTCTTCCTTGAACTAAGCAAAGGTCTGTTACTGCTAGAAGAAGATAGGAATTTGAGAAAGGACAACATAGAAGGAAATGCTGGTAGGGCAAACAAGTGCAGTATTTATTTTTGTTCCTGAGTTGATATGAGGTGGATATTTATAAAATAAAAAAGACATAGGAGAAAGTGGACCATTCCTAAGTCAGTCAACTATCTGGCCATTGCTTTATTATGTGCCTAAACTGTATCATTGTACTTGTTCTTCACAACCACTCTGTTCAGTGTAGGCAATTGGCCTTACTTAGGAACACAATGAGAGTCAAAAAGGTAAATAATTTTCCCAAAGGCACACAACTAGTAAATGGTAGAGTTGGGATTCCACCCCCCTCTCTCTGGCTACAAACCTTTATGTTCCTTCCCATCTAACCATTTAGGAAATTTTACTTTTACCAGATTTTACCTTTTTTCCATAATGCACTTTGTAGTATAGCCTTTTTAATATGGGCAATGATTACACACAAGCATACATTTTAATGTTTTGTAGGTTATTTGGGCCTCTGGCACTATGGCTAAAATGATAAGGTTATGGTATAAGTAGTGTTCTGAGCCCTCGACAGTATAGCTCAGTGATATAGCACAGTGATTGAGCCAGGTGTCAAATCATGACTCTACCACTGCCTCTCACCTTGTGAGAGACCAACATACAGGGTTGTTTTGAGGATTAAACATGGAATATGCATAGAACACTTAGCACAATGCCTGACAAATAGTAATGCTTCATAACTGCTATTATATATTTACTATATCATGTTAAGTCCCTGCCTTCTCCATGAGATTCTGAGAATTTTCACAGAAATTATAAACTGTACCTCCTATGTTGTTACTTGCAGAGAAATAACAAACATTACTTCTACTCTTCTATTACTTTTCATATTTTGGGTAATTATTTTAAAATATAATAACTACTATTTGAAATATATATATATCTAGTATTTGAGTCCCTCTCCTGATCAGGAATATTTGCCTCATCCAGGATTTACAGTATTTTTAGATAGATCCCCAAAATCTGTTTTGGTTGAAGATATTTGAAATAATAGTAGTAGACAATGACCACTGGTGTCTTTGTTTTAACCTTCTATTGTATGAGAATGCAGAATCCACAATTCAGTGATTAAAACATTTGCTATCTTCTTTTCTTTTTCAGAAGATGAATAACCTTTCATTTAGTGAGCTATGTTGCCTCTTCTGCTGTCCACCTTGTCCAGGGAAAATTGCTTCAAAATTAGCATTTTTGCCACCTGATCCAACTTACACTCTAATGTGTGATGAAAGTGGAAGCCGCTGGACTTTACACCTATCAGAACGAGCTGACTGGCAGTACTCTTCTAGAGAAAAAGATGCTATTGAGTGTTTCATGACTAGAACCAGTAAAGGCAACAGAATTGCCTGCATGTTTGTGCGTTGCTCACCCAATGCCAAATACACCTTACTCTTCTCACATGGAAATGCTGTTGATCTTGGTCAGATGAGCAGCTTTTACATAGGACTGGGATCACGGATTAACTGTAATATATTCTCATATGATTATTCTGGATATGGTGCAAGTTCTGGGAAACCAACGGAGAAGAACCTCTATGCAGACATAGAAGCTGCTTGGCTTGCTCTTAGGACAAGGTAAATGGTGATTGGGAATTATTTTCCATACTTAGGATGAATAACTAAAATTGTCTTATAGTAGAATAAAATAAAAGCTTTTTTATAACACATCTTGAAGTTGAAGTACTAAATAGAGATTATATTTACCAATATATATCTATGAAGAGTTAAAATTAGGTTGTAATTGAACTTATTAGAGTGTGATATAACAGTGTTTTTTTCAGAATTGCAGCATTTCATGTGAATGAGAGAAAATAGTGACTTAGCTAATTACTCATTGACTTGACCTGTCATTAACAGTGTGAGAGGCTGCATTGTTTTTGTCAAAATCCTAAGACAGGATTTGCATTATTTTATGTAATTATCTCCTAGAGGTGTGACTTAAAGATACCATAATGGAACTATTTTTAAAGTATTCATTCTGTAAAACTGAGATTTTACTTTCATTCTGGACTCAAAATTTGGAGAGGCTCTCAAGTAGGAAAAAAAAGTAATGCTATGATAAATCATTTAAATAAATTACCTTACTATGACAGTTATTCTTTGATTATAACAATACATTGTTGGGGGGACTAGAAATTGCATTAGTCTTTTCTAGTCACCAAGATACTTACACTTTAAAAAAAAAAAAAATACAATTTTGTAGACTTCAGTGTATTTTCCCATCATTTAACATACAATAAATCGATATCTTAGTATAAAGTATTCTTCCTATTATACATTGATCAGTTGCCTGACTTCCACCATAGTTTAGATCAAAGCTAAAGGACATAAAGAAAACTTACAGAACATATATGCATAACCCATAACACAGACAACAGTGTGGTGATGGCCAGAGGGAAGAGGTGGTTGGGGACTGGATCAAGGTGGGCAGTGAGATGGGGTGGAAATAGGGGTATCTGTAATAGGATCAACAATGAAAATGAAGTTTGAAAAAAAAGAACTAGAGAGATGGGGGGGAGAAAGAAAGAAAAAGAAAACTTACCATTTCTAATTTAATGCTTAAATCTGAATGATTTCAGTTAGTTAAGAACCACTTTGGTTTTGTTGGTAAGCATAACCTTTTTCAGAAAAAGTCTTTTGAATCATTTACCCCCTCCAAGATATGTAATAAAACTCAACTCTCACAGCAAAGTTCTATATAAAGGGGATTCTTAAATCAATTTAAATGATATGAAAACATATCTGATGAATAAGAAAAAATAGATGACAAATAATATAAAGTAGTAGGGAAGGAGTTCAGGGTTGGGTGGAAGGACAGAATGTAAAAAATGTATAAATTTAGAAACCACCTTAAATGGCAAAATCTGCCTCTGGTATACTGATATCAGTTCCCTCAACCTACAAACGAAGAAACAAAAATGAGTTCCCACGTTTAGCATGGCTGATGCTGAAAGTGGGCACTCAGCCAGTTGAATGTAGTATAGTAACTGTCAGGAAAGTATGATAATACACATTTTTAATAACAGATTTGTTGAGATATAATTCATATACCATGATTCACTATTTTAAAGTATAACTTCAGTGAACTGGTATGGTTCTTAAGGATGCTAACTTAAAGCAGAGAGCCTTTATTGTTAGTACTGGACTGGGAGTCAGGGTACCTGGGTTCAAATTATAGGTCTGTCACTAATGTACTCTGACTTTGAACATCTGCTGAGTAAGCAGCTGAACCAGATTAGATGTCCTTTCTAATTTCTAGTATTCTGAAATTGTGTTATTGCTTTGAGTCCTCTGATGTGAAATTGGCAGCTACCTCTGCTGCTCTGGAGCCTTGCCCATTGCTAACTTTAGCCTAAAACCCATAGTTGCTACCAACAATGCTGCTACTCAGCTAACAGCAACTGTGCGGCCTTAAAAGTTATGCTGATGCTGCAAATGTTCATTTTCCCAATTTTTTCATTCCTATAAAGTATGCACAGCTAGGTCCGTTGTAAAGAAAACTTTTCTGAGTCAGAGAAGTTTAGAGTCAGAAAAGTTTAGAGTCAGTCTGGAGTAGATGGAGCCCAGTCTCTGGGACATATCCAAATGCTTGAGTAGGACTGAATGGAAGAAACTGTGGGAAGGTATGTCATTATCTGGATAGTTCAAATAGGCCTGTGCCCATAGAAAGGGCCATAGGGAGCCACACAGGGCTTGTCTTGTTCTTTCCTGGTGAATGCTCAAATAATTTAGAAAGCTCTATTACCTTTTCAAAAGATGAGAAGCTGTTGATCAAATGGCCCTTAGCATCCAGAAGTGACTACTGTCAGACTTCTAAAGTGGAAAGGAATATTTGTTGTCACTCTAACCCTTAACCCCACATTCATTAGCTTCTGTAGCATCTTACTTACACTTGCAGTAGTTTACAGTTGGGACAATTATACTATAGACAAGTAACAGTGGCTGGAACATGGTATATATATATATATATATATATATATACCCAATATTACTGAGTTCATTGAGCTCACATATTTAAATATGAACCATTTTTAAAGGGAATAAAGCAACACTCTTTAAGATTTTAGCATGAAATCTGTTCATAATTAACTGAATCATAGGTCATTAGAATTGTCATTCATCTGTCTATTTTTTCAATCACTAATCCATTTCTTTGGTAAGTAAAGGCAGATTTCAAGAAATGTAGCAATTTAATCTTGGCTAAAACAATACTTACATTCATTTCATATGTAACTATGTCACATTTTCATCACTATGACCAACTTCAAAAAGGAAAATGCTCCACTTTTGATGTCTAGGGAAATAAAGAACTTTTTTAACATTTAATGGAAGATAAACACTATCTATTACATATAAATCATTAAAATATTAGTGATAATATGTTCCAAATTTAGTCAACAGGATACTATATCGAATTACATAAATGGTTTAATAAATCCATTTTTAATATTGAAATTTTAAAAAGACCTCAGCAGTTTTTCCAAAAAATGAAATTAAAACATGAAGTTAAGAAAATAGATTTTACTCTAACATTAAATATAATAGTGAGGACTAAGAAACTTAAATTTTAAATATAAATTTGTTGACATTGTCTAAGTCATTCGGTTATGAGATTAAATCCTTAGGGATGATTGACCATTTTCATACCAGTCCAACTCTTTTTTTTCTTTTTTTAACTTCTGAACTTTGTAGATACGGCATTCGCCCTGAAAATGTGATTATATATGGCCAGAGTATAGGGACAGTACCATCTGTGGATCTTGCTGCTCGGTACGAGAGTGCTGCTGTTATTCTTCATTCTCCTTTGACCTCAGGAATGCGAGTTGCTTTTCCTGATACCAAGAAGACCTACTGTTTTGATGCATTCCCAAAGTAAGTAGTAATATTCAAAACACTTGAGTTTCGGGGAATTTTATTCCATCACTTACAGTATTCATGATACAACTCAGCTATGAGCTTCTATTTTACATATATTACAGAAATTCTGAAAAAATTAACTTACGAAGCAGGTGGTAGCAGGACATCAGGAAGCTGAAATGTTTGAGCAGTAGTGATCCAGGTGCAAAGTACTGAGGGCCTTTTAACCAGACAGTAGCATTAGTATTAGAGACAAGAATTAATTTGGGAAATGAAATTGATAGAACTAAATGTCAGGCTGGATATAGGATGCTAAACAGAAGAACTTGAATGTAATTCTCAGGTTTCTGACTTAAACTGCTAATGGATGGTGGTACCATTCAGTGAGACACAAAACTGCAGGAAAGGAGCAAGTAGAGGGAAAATGAGACATGCATGCATAAAAATGAGTGAATGATATCCAGTGGTATCTATCTGATTGACAAAGTAGTGAATTGCAAAAAAGTTGAGTTTTAAATGAACTAGGATAAGTATTGCTGCCACAAAGTCTGCAAACATAAGGTGTTAGACAAATTCGAAAGAAGGGCTACTTCTACTGCTTCTTAACCCAGGATGGTAGTTCCACCAACTCAAGAAGTGAGAAGCTGGCAAATTTAAGTTTTATTTTCTCTGCCTAATTGGCAACAATACAGAGGATTTTTTTGTGAATGATAGGTAGGCCAAAGGCAAAGTCATTACTTGGTTCTTTATAAGAACAGCAAGGGTCATTTCAAAAACATTTTTTTCATCACTAGCCAGTAAGGAGCCACTTTTGTAGGGAAGCTTATGGGTACATATGACCTTATCACCAGAGCAGGCTATGGGAGGGAGATTTTGATTTTTACTTTTATTTTGGGTTTGTTTTTGTTTTAGATAACAGTAGGTTGGAAGGTATGTGCATTATATTGCTTCGTGTCTAGCGGAATGATAGAGATGATAGGAAGGTACTTGATGTAATGCTAATATGCTGTAAAACTTATATCTCTGTTTAGCTCCCTCTTTCATTATTGCACCAACAGAGAGGACAGCACTAACAGCTGTTAGAGAAAGATTATCCATTTCTTTTTATTTTTTGTTCTAATTCCTTTACTATTGAGCATTTGACAGCAAATAATATACCCAAACATTCTTTCCTTACTAAATGCAGCCTTGAATAATTTCATTGATGATATTTGTACTTTTCATGATTCTGTCTTCATTTTATGGTTAGTGCCCTCTCTCTCTCTCTCTCAGGATTTTTTAAGAGTTGTTTGTAAGATTTCTTCTCTGTGTAATTTATGTCTCCTTGAGCTACCTTTTAAATTCTCATTGTTTTGATCTCTGTCTTATGTTAAAGTGTGCTCCTCTGATGTCTGATAATTCTTGGTTTTCTACTCATAGTAAGACAAGAGGGAATAAAGTGCTGATCTGAAGCAGGTGATTAAGACTTGTTGACTGAGCTTCACTATAGAGTGATGTAGTTAAGCCAGTTAGTTGGGGATCCCCACCCCAACCCCCCCTGTCAATATTTATATATCTGCCCTCTTAAAGTGAGTACAGTCTCCAAAGAAAACTTTCTAAAATTCCCCCTTAGTGGATGAAGTCCTGGATGCCAGCTTTCTGCAAGCCCAGTGGGGAGAAAGGGTTCACAGCAGCCAGTATGTATGTGCTCGCTTGGCCTCTGATACCTCTGCCCTAAACTGTTTCTGGCAATCCCTTAGTCCACAAACTCTCCAGTTTGGGGTGGAGTGCAGTTACCCTCCTGCAAAAAGTAGGGGAAAGATGCTGGCAGGGAAGGATCTAAACTATTTCTTTGAACAAATTGTAAATATTTCAGTGACCCACCTTCATACCCTTTCATTTCCTAGGTGTAAATTGGATTGGTTCTTCCTTCACTGTCTATCCTCGTTTTCTCCTGTCTGCCTTTCAGCTAGATTTTTTTGATGTTTTATTACATTTGTTCTATTTTTGTGAGTTAACACCCTAAAACAAACAAACAAAAAAACATACCACCATATATAAGTGCAGAAAGGTATGTAATGGTCCTTAGTTTCTTCCTCTCTTTGCAATCTCAGTTTCTCTGTGCAAAACATCACCATTGTATAAAGGTACAGTAGGGTGACGGTAACTATTGAGTGATTCCCTCAAAACAGAAGTGAATGAAGTTAACGTTCTCAGATACTCTGAAGGTAGAAATATGTAAAGGTAAATTTTGAATCATTTGAAATCCAAGAGGCATCCATCCCTTCTGAGTAGATTCTGATGTTTGAATTATCTCTCTGATATAGCACAAGAAAATTTGTTTTACATTCCTCTTCATAGTTAATTCATTGACTGTCCCCCTCCTTTTTCCCTACAGCATTGACAAAATCTCTAAGATAACCTCTCCAGTATTAATAATTCATGGGACTGAAGATGAAGTCATTGACTTTTCACATGGCCTCGCATTGTTTGAGCGTTGCCAAAGACCTGTGGAGCCTCTGTGGGTTGAAGGGGCAGGTCACAATGATGTGGAACTTTATGGACAGTACCTTGAAAGGTTGAAACAGTTTGTGTCACAGGAACTGGTAAACTTGTAAAATATTCTGTAAATTTGCGTACCGGATTTTCTTTTGCTGAACTGCACTCTTTGGTAAATAATATAAAACCTGAAGGTTTTGTTTGCAAATCATGTCAGTTGCCTTCATAAATGTACAGGTAATGATTTGTTAACAGACTTAATGAAGGTTTTAATTACCAGAACTATAACTGGAAATAACAGTATCATGCAGTCAAGCTGTGTAATTTATATTTTTTCTGTGAATTTTTTTTTAACATCAAGATGAGTACTGTATGAAATTTTAATTCTATAAAATCAAATGCTGTAAAAGTATTGCCAAATGCTTTTGCATATGAGAAACAAATTTATAAATATTTTTAAAACATCTCAATGTACTAAATCTTATCCTGGTATACAAATGTACTATTCTTTCAATAAAAGCTGTATATCTAAAACAATTCAAGTACTCAACAGAATACTAAGGAAACACACATTCACTAGAGATAACCTAAACCCTGTTGTACAGGGATAGAGGTGTAAACAATTATTCTATTGTAAAATACATTGAATTTTCTGTATTCCCTGGTTATCATACATTTTCTCCTTTAAAAAAAATAAAAAAATGATATGTCTTAATTTTTATGCCATCTGTTAATTTACCAGCTAGTTACCTTGTAAATGAGAAGTCATGATAGCACTGAATTTTAACTAGTTCTGATTTATAAGTTTGGTACTGTGAGGCAACTACTTAAAATTTTTATTTTAGTTATTTAAAAGGCATTTAGAGCTTCCAGAATGACTTTTGTATGCAATGTTTTAAATTTTGGCTAATCTTGTAAAGTTGCAGTACTCTTCCATATAAAACAACCTGAAAATCCATTGGATGTTCTTCAAGACCACAAACAGACTGGCTTTGGTCCCTTTTCACTTTGGCTATTTTTAACAATAGACCTACTGTTTTGGAGATTTCATGGATTCACTCCTGATACAGGAGATAAGAAAACATTTAATTCATAACTTTTATATTAACCAATGTAGTAAAAAAATAAAGCTCACACATAAAAACTAAGTTGCCTTTCCTTGAATGAATCATTCCTGAATAAAAAAAGAAAGAAAAATAAAAATTAAATTAATGGTATGTAGTCTAATTTGTAAATGAATGCTATTGAAATAATATACACTGTGGATATATTTTAAGGCCTTATGTAGTTTTAATTGTTCTGCTTGTTCTGTGGTTATGTCTAAGACTATAGTATATGATTCTCTTCAAAGTATATCAAGTATTGTGAATGCTTTGGTTCAGATGTGTCAAATTAACAGTAAAACAACAAATATACCACTCACCTGTGCTTCTTTGCCTTCTTCCAAGCTCTCCACCTATAAAAAAGTTACCATTCATCTTAATAGGACATAGTTCTATAGTTTTGTAAATTTTATCACTTCTTTCCTTTAGAAAGGTTTTTCTTTTTCAAGATTGTCTTGGAGCCTATACAGTTCCTTCTTTGTACAACATACGCTGCAGAGTTTAGTTGAGTGTTGTCTTTGGTTAATTATATATTCATTGAACAAATATTTATTGCATATTTAAATGCTGGAAAACCCTATGCCAGTTAAAGATAGACATTGGCCATGTCCTCATACACTTCGCTGTATTAGCTGAGGAGACTTACCTCATTGACAAGTAGTACTATTTGGATAAGGGCTGAAGGAGATTAGTAGGATATTATAATAAGTAAAAGGTACTTCTGGGAGGGGAGGGTGCAGAGAAGAGCAAGGAAGAGTCCCATGAAGTAGTTTATGAATTGAGCTTTGAAAAATTACTAAGAAGTTACTAAACTTCCATGGTCCAGATGAAGCATTCCTGGCTGAGGGAAACTGTATGTGGAAGCCTAGAAGAAGAATGGTGTATCTGAAATTAAGAAGAGCCCTGGCCTGTTTGGCTCAGTGGTTAGAGCGTCAGCCCTTGGAATGAAGGGTCGCAGGTTCAATTCCGGGTAAAGGGCACTTAACCTTGGTTGCAGATTCAATCCCCAGCCCTGGTCGAGGTGGGTGTTGAAGGCAACCAATCAGTGTCTCTCATATTAACGTTTCTCTCTCTTTCCCTCTCCCTAAAAATCCATGGAAAAAATATTCTTAGGTGAGAATTAAAAAAAAAAAAGATTGGCCAGAGGTCAAATGGAATGGATGGCATGAGGCTGGCAAGCTAGTTAGGGGCACAATCATATGTGGTATTATGGATCCTGAACACTGTCCTAGAAACAATGGAAAGGCATTAATAGAAATATGAAACTGCATTTTTCAAGAGTTTGCAGACAAAATATGGAGATTTTAGCTTAACTAGAAATAACATGGAAACCAACTGTTTAGACACTGATGTAATTTTAGGATGCAGAAAAATTCATCAGAAAATCTTATAAAGTGCTGGTTAATCCATATCTGCAATATTAACTTCATTTCAGGATTCAGTGAAAGGATATTCACAAATCAGAACAAATCCTGGTCTGTTTGACCAAGTTAGGAAGAATCCTGTAAACAAAAACTAACTAAAGGATTACGTGACTAAGAAATGACAGGTGTCTTCAAATATTTGCGAAGCACGTACAATTCTTTTTGACACAGAGTAGAACAAAGAAAATTGCAGCTTACAGCTCAGTGTAAAAAATAACTTTATGGATATTTGTCCATCAAGGTGAAATAATTGTCCCCTACGTGTTAATGAGTATCTTACTACTAGAGCAGAAGCTGAATGACATCTGTCACAATGCTACAAAAGAAATTCCAGATTTAAATGAGAAATTGAATTAGGTGGACCCTGTGTCAGGTCCCTTTAAGGTTCTATAGTCCATTTAGATTTCTTCTGCCTACTCAGAACTTTGCTTGCCCCGTGGCATCTAGAACACAGTATGATGTAGAAGAATTGAATTGGCAATCAGGCGTGGGCTCTCTCCTCAACTGACACGAATTAGCTCTGTAACCTTGGCAAGTTACTTCCCTGGGTCACTGGTGCCCTCACGATCAATGAAGAGATGGAACTGATTGATTAATGGCCTTATGTTTCTAATGTGATAGTAAAATCTCTCAGCCCCACTCATATGTAACGATTCATACAATTTTTTAACCTTGGCTGCAGTAGCCCCAGATAACTTATTTTGATACTTGGCTCTTGTGCATACCAACATGGTAAAATTTGGATGTTAACAGTAGTCCTGGAAAAATGTTCAGCAGCCTACATAACTCCTGCCATATCTTACAAGTACAAAAAAGCAGAATAAGAACAATACATTGATTTTCTCATCTTGCCACTCTCAGACTTCAAACTTAAATTTACCAGTTCTAAATCCCACCTAAGAATATGTAGCAGTGTCATTTTTTCTCTTTGTGATTTCTATGCATATATAGGTGTTGCTAGCTTGAAAACTTGATAAATGAAAATTTTTAAAATTGTAAACTAACATCGTTTGTCACATAATAGGCTGGTCCTAGTGCGTTTAGACAAAAACTTGAGAACAACTCTTCAAGAACAGGTATGGAAGCCAGATAAACTCATAAGTTAAAACTTTGTAGATAGGATATAGCCTAATCCCTTCATTTTACAGGTGAGGAAACAAACCCAAAGAAGAAAAGTGACTTTTCCAAGGTCGAACAACCTAGTCAGAGGTGGTACTACCTCATCCTCACCCAATTTATCTGGACTGACAGGCCAGTGATCCTTTTGAACTATAGTACAGCATAAGCTTATTTGCTCTTTCATTAAACATAATTTTATTTAAATGTCTCTTCAGTTACACCTTACTCTTCATTGAAGAGAGTAGATTGGTAGGTTGTGCCTTTCACATTTCTCAAATTAATGAATTGTATATTTAAGTAACACTAATTCATTTTACTAGGCTCAGTAATAGCTCTGGTTGTGTTAAAACCTAGTGAAGATGGTAACTAATCAAATCAAGTATTTACTTCAACAGCACATTTACTACAAAGTATATAACATGCCGAGAATAAGCCATTACATTGAATAAAGTATCAGAAGTTAATACTAATTGGTGATGGATGGGCTTTTAGCTAATTGCTTTGGTTTAAAACAGGCAATATATTAAAAAACAATGATAGCATGTTGCATTCTAATGATGTGCACCCCAAATATCCTGTGACCAAAAAGGGACCTATTTATATATTTGGATTGTTTTGGGTTAAATTTGCAGAATGGAGAGAGAAGTCGTTTGTCTAGTACATCTCGAAATGGATTGTGCCTCTGACTGAATAGTTGAATAAGTAATGCTAAGGAAGGAAGCAAATATCTGTAGCCTGGAAATGACCCACTTGACATTACAGTTTTAAAAAATGAAACAAAACAGGAAGTAAAGCATAGTCTTTATAAATAGTGAGCTAAAAGCTGTTAAGCTGGTTTTTTCATTAGAAGCCAAATAGACTTGAAAATATTTACACCCTTTATTTCCTCTTGTAGGCCATGTACTGAACTCGCAAAAGACAATTATAACATCTATAAAAAGTTTTAGTAGTATGCTTTAAGAAATGAAATCTTTATATTAGAAAAATGAGAAGTGCTATTTTAAATATGATTATGTATCTGCTGATAAAATGTAAAGTTCAACTATTGAACTAAGTTAACTCAGAGTTGATTGTTTCTATGATTACTGCCTAAGGCAGCATACTAAAAGGTAAGAAGGGGAGCAGGTAGGTCAACATTTTTAAATGTACCCCTGTTTTCCAAATTACCTGCAAACTATAGTGGATTCATAGACTTTAAATCAAAACTTCTAATTAGCATTTTACATTATATTACATTACAACCAATCTTATTCAGATGATACTTATGTTTGTATTTAAACAATTTCAAATTATGTAAATACAAGTTTAAAACTTTGGTCAAGTCAGACCATTTATATTATTTCGCCAAAGGTCAAGATTTTAGTGTTTGGTGTTTTTTGTTTTCTGGTACTTTCTAGTTTGTTTTTGAGTGTAGAATTCTAGGCTCCAAGCCTCCTAGGTCCACCACTATAAAGTAGAATGGGCAGGTGGGAGAGAGACAAGAAAATACATATCCCTGAATACATGTGATGCTATCAAGAATGACACCTAAATTTGCTAAAGTATCTAATGTAATACCAAGTGAAAAAATACATGTAAGTAGTTACACCTCCATAAAATAAAATGTGAATGCCTATGGAGTAAAACCAGAAGGCAATAAATACAATGAAAATGTATTTTGTCGAAGTAGAATTATGGGTTGAGTTTTTCCTTAGAAAATTATGTTGCTGTTATTTTTTATGATTACATAAGGTGAAAAACCTATTTTTTTAAGTCCAGGCCTCTGAAATTATAGGACCCCACTATAGACCAAGAAGTAACTCAAACATATTTTTAGCCTGGCTATCAGAGCAACATAGTATTTGGGTGATGTTGAGTTTTTTGTTTAGGGTTTTTGTTTTGTTTTGGTAGGGCGTATAACAAATTGTATAATATCTAAAACTCTCATTTAGTACCAAGTCTAATGAAAAAATTTCCTAAGCAGTACCTACATATTACATCTATTAATGTTACAACCCCCGCAGTGCATTGTTATAACTGTTAGTTTACCATCTGTAGTCATTTCTTCAGCTCAATACAGCTTTGCCCACATTCACCTCATTTGCGCTGTTGTTGGCAAATATATTACACATATATTACATTTCTATATGTATAGGTCCAACAATATAGTAGGTACATATTGTTTTATAAAAATGCTTTTTAAATCTGACCCCCTGCTCAGTCCAAAATAATTCCCATATAACTTTTTCTGTTGTTGTTAATCCTCACTTGAGGATATTTTTTCATTGATTTTTTTTAGAGAGTGGAAGGGAGGGAGAGAGAAACATCAATTGGTTGCCTCTCACACACACCCGGACCTGAGCCATCAAATCTGCAACCGAGGAATGTGCTCTTGACTGCGAATCAGGCCCATGACTCTGGTGGGTGGGCCAACACTCTAACCACTGAGCAACACGCACCAGGGTCTGTATAACTTTTGACTCCCCAAATCTGAACTACAGTCAGCCCTTCACATCCACAGATTCAACCACGGTTTGGAATCTGCAGTTGGGAATTTGAAGATACTGTTTTCTATCCATGGTTGGTTGAATCTGCAGGTGCAAAACCTAGGATATGAGGGGCTGGCTGGCTGTATTTACTGGGGATGGGGTGGGAATCTGCGTTTAAGTGGAAATGGGCAGTTCAAATCTCTGTTGTTCAAGGCTCAACTGTCTGTCTACCCTTCCCTTGGTAACTGAAAGCTTCCTGACAACAGAATTCATACTGTAGGAGCAGAAAATATTCCAAAGAGGTAAGA